ATAAGTGCATTAGAGCGCATTGGCTTGATGTAGAAGAGTTGTTTTTTTCTAAAGTTTTTTCTATAATTCTCAATATGTTTCCAATTTCTCATATTGTGGAATTGAACTATACTCTTTCGTCCATATAGCAGCGATTAATTTGAGGTTATATCAGAAGTTCAATATTTTAATATGTTTTATTTAGAGATCTCGAAAAGGAAGATGGTAGTACGTAAAAGTGGTATAAATAATAGGGAACTCCAAGAGATCATCTGATCGTTTTTTAAAAGCTTCATATTCATTCTTTTGTATCCAGCATATAATCTACTGTAATACACCAGCCGTTTTTTTTTCTGGAATTTTCACATCATTTATTCATGCTTAATCATAGTTACCAGTTGTGTCTCAATGGTTCCCTTTTTCTCGCTTACTATTTCTGACAGTTCTATAATTGGATCGATTGTGGCAGGCTCCGACTTTGAAATAATGTCGGGTGCAAGTAAGAAGCGTGTTCGCAAAGAGGATGTGGCGACATTTGACGAATGTGATGCTGGCAGCTGGGAGTGCACCGTATGTACTTACCGCAACCGTTTTGAGGCCTTCAAATGTGAAATGTGCGATACAAGGTTAGGTTCAGACTCTACAGAAAGTGCTGACTTTAGTAGAACATTATCTTCTGTTCGCTATTTATTTAGTAGTAGAGCATCTAGTTCATCATATTTTGTCCACTGTTGATTTTTGATTGTTAGATGCTTTTGTTGATCTCCCCAACTAGTTCAAAGTTCTTCTAGAAAAGGAACCTCTACACGAAAACCGAGGTTGAATGAGAATGTTGTGCAAATGCAAAAGGTTGTTCAAAATTTTGTTGTCCAACAACAGGAGAAAGCTGCCAGCAGGTATGCCTGAATCGATTACTTTCGTTCCTTGCCTTCCCTTCTTTTTGCTTACTTAGCGGTTCTTATAAAGATTGTTCTCCAAATGCGCTTGAACTATAACGGAGACAGAGTCTGTGGAGTAAGATAACATACGAGTGTTGGGGCAGAACTGACTTTCATGCTTGCCTGAATTATGACGGTGTACATTGCGATTATACTAGCTATAAGAATTAACACGT